TGCTGGATTTTTGCCTTTTAGTTACTGAATGTTGCCAGAGTGTGCCAAAATTCAACAATAATCGGATATAAGAAAATTGTAACTGTTCTTACAATAGGTAAAAATCAGTAGAAAATCAGATGCCCGATCTTTCACTGATTTTATTCTGAACTGTCCTTTTTCGACTAGTGTAGAAAATAGGTATCCTACTTTGGTTAGTCATCTCAATAATAGTCTTTTCACACTGGTCAAGATGTTTTGAGAGATCTAAAGAATTAGCAGCCTGAAGGATTTCCACTGTTTGTACAAATATATCACCAATCCCATCAATACATGGAAACAACTGAAGATATAACCATTGATGAGGTTCAGTACAACCACATTCCAAAAGCATTAATAGAATAATATATCTTGATAATAGTCCTTGTTCATAGTATCGTTTTGCAATGTCATTTCTATCATGAGTGGAAACATCTTGTATTCGTTTCCTCAATCGAACATGAGTCTTTGCCAACTCATTAGACCCAAGATCTTGTTGATATTCAGCAACCATATACAAGCCAAAGTGCTTGCTAAAGATGGTTCCTCAATTAGTTGCAACTAATTGCAGCATATAAAAATTGAATTGCGGTTGCGGTTGCGGCATATGAAAGTTGAATTGCGGCTAATTGTGGTTCCATCTCTGGTGCTTGCATAATATTTCAAAGACAGTTCTAGTTTTTCTGCAGCCTGATGTTCCCAAGATATATCCAAAAGCAGTATTCAGATTGATGTCACTGTATTTTGTCCATCCACATTCTCCTATTGATGGAAGTTCTGATAAAAGCAAAGTGGGACGATTCTTCATAAAACATACTTGAACTGAACCACGAGCACATGTGGAGAATGGTTGATAATTAGTTTTAGAAAATTTGACAATATTTGGTTTAATTTTGCTAAATAATACATCCAGATTTATTTTAATATCTTGCCAAGTTTCTCTTGGTGGGGTTTTAAAACCTGAACAAATGAAATGACAAGTGCAAATTCTGTTCACCTTCTGCTAAAGCCACCACAATAGGTTAATTTACAAAACATACATGATTAATAGACATGTCCAAAATTAGAATGTATGGATGAGGATGTATAAATGAGTAGATGTAGTCAAACATTTCAAACAGTATACAAATAAATGAATAAATAAAATAAAAAAAATGAGTGGAATAAATGGAAAATAATTTTTTGTATATTTTTTTATGAATTTGTTCATTACTTTTTTCTTCGAATTCTACTAATTTTTTTTGTAAATGTTCCACATAGCTCCACATATTCCTCTTGTCTGTCTCCAATCCCTCTTTTTCTTTCATCAACTCATCCTTCTCGCCTCTGTATTTCTCCTTCTCTATTCCCTTCCTCAGATTGTTCAACTTCTCTCTCCACTCCCCCCTCCACCGCCTCAACTCTTCATCGGCCTTTCTATGCTCTTCAAGTGCAATGTTGAGTTGGTTTTTAATTTCATCAGAAGTTGTCACCATTGTTAAAAAAAAAAGATTCTAGAATTAATTTTTTTTTTTATTATTTATTGATTTAGATTGTAATTGTTACAATTAATTGTTTCTATAAATAATTTGGACCAATGATAAATTAGTGGGCACATGACTTGGAATT